GGCTGTGTTGGCGCGAGAAGATACTGCTTCAACGTCGATCTGATTCACGGAAAATGGGTTCAAACCCGCCGTTTGTTCTCGAGATCGGACCCGATGGTATTCCCAAAGAAGCTTCGGTTATCAGTTACACAGAACAGGTTCTCCCTCTATATATTCATTCTTTTTGCTCTTCAATCTCTCACAATCTTGTTGCTTTGTTTTCAGATAATCGAAGCAGAGCAACTTCAATTGAAGAAGTAACCCTTTTCTTAATTCGTCATTTAAATTTTGGTTATTTATTTAATTTTTAATTTACATTTTCAGCATTGATTCTTAATGTTCAATCAATTAATTCAACATTGGTGGTGCTAAACCATTGGCAAGGTTTCCCTTCTGTTTAGTGGAGATGTCCAAGGACAAATGCAAATGGAGGAAATAATTAATATTTCCTTAGTTTTCTACAACTGACTAATAAATTGAACCAAACTCTTTTTTTATTTTTAAGCAAACAGTATATATAGTTAAACCAAATGAAGTATGTAAAAAAGAGAAAAAAGAAATGTAGTTTGTGTTTAAATCAAACATAATAGAAATGGGTAAACAACATTTTAGTCTTATGCATTCACATTAGTTTTTGGAACAAGAAATTTAAAATAAGTCCTTTGTTATTTTGTTCTCCAAACTTAACTATTTATTGTCACTTTAATCCTATAATATACATCTAATATAATCAGTTTTCTCGTACAACATATTGAATTAGACTTGAGTGTGTTGAATTATACTTAAAAATCTCTTGAATGCACAACATCATACTAAAGTGACAGTATTATGAGATTGGCTATATATCCCATTAGAAGCCGTTCTAATTTTTATAACCACTGAATTCTCTCTTTTTCATTTTTAAACATGTTTTCAGATACATTGAGGAAAACTATTCTAAAATTCGTGATGTGGAGCGTGAGCTTGCAAATCTGGGATTGGAGATGAAACTTACATCTGGACCAAAGAAAGCAGGTTTCTGTGTATCAATTGTTTTCCTTTGCAGAAATGAAGAGTGTCATTGTTTCCTTTTGCATCAATAATAGTTGTTCCTCATAGTTTTAATTAGTGAAATATGAAATAACGTTGCTTCATTTTTGCATGCCATGTTTACTTTAAGCGTTGGAACATATGAGAACAAAGATAGAGGCATCAACAGAGAAAATTCGTGTGGCAAAGCTAAAGGAAGAACAGGCACATAAGGCATGTTACTTTTATGTACTACTATTAATTATTTTTCACGCTGCTTTCATGATATTTGTATTTTTGAGGTATGGATGCCATATTCTCTGTTTGTGGTATGTCTGTTAGCAGTGTGACTTCAGTTCTTGAGTTTACAATGAGGTCACAGAGATGCTGGAGAAAAAAATGTAAAGAGTCTTGTGCTACTTTTAAACAACTTGAACAAATTTTTTAAATGTTAATTTACTTTTAAGTCTCTGTGGCTTAAAGAAAAGCTGAATGATTGGCTCGTTGTGATTCACATGCACAGCAAGGTTAGAAAAGTTAGTGAGATAAGCTTTTACCCATTAGCTCATTTTATCGCATATATATGGGGTGTAGCTTATTTTTTCAACATTTAACTTCAACAAGGATGTGCATGTGCATATTCTTGTTCATCAGTTCATTTTGTTATGATAATAAATAAAGAGTAATCCCTCATTCTAGTCTCTAAAATTCTAAGCGTGTGTCACTTTAATCCATATTATAAATCCTAACTTCAGTTCTTGAGTTTTCAAAAGTCCTTCATTTTAGTCTTTTATAACTTCTTTTCCGACTGCCATTTTGCTTCGAAAGGATTAGAGTTATTGTCATTTGCAAGGTTAAAGCAACATATATTAATAAACTTAAGAATTAAAATGGGAGTGTATATGGTAAATGAAAGACATTAGTACCTATACCTTAATTTGTTTTCCCCTTTTCTTTGTCAAGAAGATAGTATGTCTCTATTAATAGCATGTTTGGAACAACTTTTTAAGAGAAATAATAGCTTTTTTTTTCTTTTCAGAAACTCACTTAGGATGCAAAAGTAAGTGTATTTAGTTACTCTAATTAAGTTGAACCAATCGCACTTTAAAAATGAGATTCCTTAACCATTCCCTGTCTTAATAACATGGAGTGATTTCTTCTTTACTTTTACTTTTCCAAATAGTTATTGTATACTTTTTCGAATGATCTCATTGGCATCTTATTTGTAAATTATAAAATTGCACACATAAATGACTTACGATTTAGATAAGAGGTTTATTGCCTCAACCATTTAATGGAAAAGTAGATAATTGATCATAAAAAACGTTTTTAAGCATCGTAATTTACCTTTTCAGTTATAGTATGTTGACTGCATGTGCTGCAGGCGTGGGAATCAGCATCCAAAGCAGTGAGGGATGAAGAGCAAATAAAGCAGAAATTATGTGAAGACTTAAGTAAACTGGTAAAAAGATTCAACGAGCACAATATTTTAATTTTTCATCCTTTGTGTTGATATTAACAATCTTTTCTAGGTAGAAGAGAGCAATAACTCTCAGTTGTCTAGGCTGGAGGAATTAAAAAGACGATTGGAAGCTATGAATCCAAACCGGCAGTCAAGTAGTCTTCACAGTGTATGTTATTCTTAAGACCCTCCTCATTCTCAGATCTATGTTGTCAATAGTTTCTATGGCATCATGTAAGTGATAGCCTAATGAAATTTACATTGGTGATTGACCTGACGTACCTTCCTTAATACTTACTGATCTTGTCAAACCTGCCTCCAAGAAATACCGTTAATAAAATAAAAGGTATTGACCAAGCCATTAAAAGTTGATATCCTAACTTTTAACCATATAAGGTTTCCTGCTGTCAAACAGATGACATTCTACTATCTAAACATTTGGAGTTTCAAACTGAACTTTTTTGTTATCACAGTAATGGGTTGTTGGATACAAGAGAATGAGCACCGGTTGCATGGCTTCTTACTGATAAATTTTTTCTTTCCAGCTTCTCTTAGACTGTATATGTAGATAATCTTTGGTCATTTGTTTTGTTTCTGTCTGACATGCTACATGTCCCGTTAAACAAATCCATATTATTCTTGTGAATGCTAAAACCTAACCTTGCATGTGAATTATGCTAGGCTGGGAGATCAAGTTCTCTGGATAGTGCAATCCAAGATGGCTCCTCCCTTCCCAGCACAAGGGAATCAAATGAAGGTTCGGCTGTGAATGTTCCGTACCAAAATAATGGTCCGAATGTTCCAGAGGCCAATGAGCATAAACCGCATCCTCCTAGTGAAGGAGAACAAAGAAATAAAAAGAAAGTTAACCTAAGAGGTAAAGGAATTGGTGCAGTGCCCAAGACTAGGTCTTCAACTCCTGACTGGACTGGTTCTGGTTTTAATGTAGATGGCAGAAATTAAAGGTACTATGGTAATGCGTTACTGCACCAGATACATTTGGCTGAGAAGTCTTTACGATCTGCGGAAGGTAATAACATCTTTCAATTTTCCATTCTTTAATTCTCCCTATTTTGTTCACTGTTGACACAGAATGACCGAACTAAGGATTAATCTTTACTAGCCTGCTTGTTTGTACAAACTTGTGAATAAGATATTTTCATGGAAGGAAAGATCAATTCATCAAATTAGATTCGTCCTTCTGTTTTTCAGATTTTGAAATGACAACTCAATTTTGATTTCTTTGTTTTCAACTGGTTATTGACTTTCACTTGTTCTTGGCAAATGTCATGGCAATCTCTTGATGAAACGATAACAGCTGCCTTTGCTTCATAGACATCTCCAGGTCCAGTGCCTGTTTACTTCAAAAGCTTCCGAAGAAAACTTTTTAAAATGACAAAACTTTCAAATTTATCATGGTGGGGATGAAACTAATTTCCTCTTTCTCTATGCAATAAGTTTGTTGTTCAAATGTTGGTTCAATTGTCTATATGCGATTTTAGTCTTAATTCGTCATTTAAATTTTGGTTATTTATTTAATTTTTAATTTACATTTTCAGCATTGATTCTTAATGTTCAATCAATTAATTCAACATTGGTGGTGCTAAACCATTGGCAAGGTTTCCCTTCTGTTTAGTGGAGATGTCCAAGGACAAATGCAAATGGAGGAAATAATTAATATTTCCTTAGTTTTCTACAACTGACTAATAAATTGAACCAAACTCTTTTTTTATTTTTAAGCAAACAGTATATATAGTTAAACCAAATGAAGTATGTAAAAAAGAGAAAAAAGAAATGTAGTTTGTGTTTAAATCAAACATAATAGAAATGGGTAAACAACATTTTAGTCTTATGCATTCACATTAGTTTTTGGAACAAGAAATTTAAAATAAGTCCTTTGTTATTTTGTTCTCCAAACTTAACTATTTATTGTCACTTTAATCCTATAATATACATCTAATATAATCAGTTTTCTCGTACAACATATTGAATTAGACTTGAGTGTGTTGAATTATACTTAAAAATCTCTTGAATGCACAACATCATACTAAAGTGACAGTATTATGAGATTGGCTATATATCCCATTAGAAGCCGTTCTAATTTTTATAACCACTGAATTCTCTCTTTTTCATTTTTAAACATGTTTTCAGATACATTGAGGAAAACTATTCTAAAATTCGTGATGTGGAGCGTGAGCTTGCAAATCTGGGATTGGAGATGAAACTTACATCTGGACCAAAGAAAGCAGGTTTCTGTGTATCAATTGTTTTCCTTTGCAGAAATGAAGAGTGTCATTGTTTCCTTTTGCATCAATAATAGTTGTTCCTCATAGTTTTAATTAGTGAAATATGAAATAACGTTGCTTCATTTTTGCATGCCATGTTTACTTTAAGCGTTGGAACATATGAGAACAAAGATAGAGGCATCAACAGAGAAAATTCGTGTGGCAAAGCTAAAGGAAGAACAGGCACATAAGGCATGTTACTTTTATGTACTACTATTAATTATTTTTCACGCTGCTTTCATGATATTTGTATTTTTGAGGTATGGATGCCATATTCTCTGTTTGTGGTATGTCTGTTAGCAGTGTGACTTCAGTTCTTGAGTTTACAATGAGGTCACAGAGATGCTGGAGAAAAAAATGTAAAGAGTCTTGTGCTACTTTTAAACAACTTGAACAAATTTTTTAAATGTTAATTTACTTTTAAGTCTCTGTGGCTTAAAGAAAAGCTGAATGATTGGCTCGTTGTGATTCACATGCACAGCAAGGTTAGAAAAGTTAGTGAGATAAGCTTTTACCCATTAGCTCATTTTATCGCATATATATGGGGTGTAGCTTATTTTTTCAACATTTAACTTCAACAAGGATGTGCATGTGCATATTCTTGTTCATCAGTTCATTTTGTTATGATAATAAATAAAGAGTAATCCCTCATTCTAGTCTCTAAAATTCTAAGCGTGTGTCACTTTAATCCATATTATAAATCCTAACTTCAGTTCTTGAGTTTTCAAAAGTCCTTCATTTTAGTCTTTTATGACTTCTTTTCCGACTGCCATTTTGCTTCGAAAGGATTAGAGTTATTGTCATTTGCAAGGTTAAAGCAACATATATTAATAAACTTAAGAATTAAAATGGGAGTGTATATGGTAAATGAAAGACATTAGTACCTATACCTTAATTTGTTTTCCCCTTTTCTTTGTCAAGAAGATAGTATGTCTCTATTAATAGCATGTTTGGAACAACTTTTTAAGAGAAATAATAGCTTTTTTTTTCTTTTCAGAAACTCACTTAGGATGCAAAAGTAAGTGTATTTAGTTACTCTAATTAAGTTGAACCAATCGCACTTTAAAAATGAGATTCCTTAACCATTCCCTGTCTTAATAACATGGAGTGATTTCTTCTTTACTTTTACTTTTCCAAATAGTTATTGTATACTTTTTCGAATGATCTCATTGGCATCTTATTTGTAAATTATAAAATTGCACACATAAATGACTTACGATTTAGATAAGAGGTTTATTGCCTCAACCATTTAATGGAAAAGTAGATAATTGATCATAAAAAACGTTTTTAAGCATCGTAATTTACCTTTTCAGTTATAGTATGTTGACTGCATGTGCTGCAGGCGTGGGAATCAGCATCCAAAGCAGTGAGGGATGAAGAGCAAATAAAGCAGAAATTATGTGAAGACTTAAGTAAACTGGTAAAAAGATTCAACGAGCACAATATTTTAATTTTTCATCCTTTGTGTTGATATTAACAATCTTTTCTAGGTAGAAGAGAGCAATAACTCTCAGTTGTCTAGGCTGGAGGAATTAAAAAGACGATTGGAAGCTATGAATCCAAACCGGCAGTCAAGTAGTCTTCACAGTGTATGTTATTCTTAAGACCCTCCTCATTCTCAGATCTATGTTGTCGATAGTTTCTATGGCATCATGTAAGTGATAGCCTAATGAAATTTACATTGGTGATTGACCTGACGTACCTTCCTTAATACTTACTGATCTTGTCAAACCTGCCTCCAAGAAATACCGTTAATAAAATAAAAGGTATTGACCAAGCCATTAAAAGTTGATATCCTAACTTTTAACCATATAAGGTTTCCTGCTGTCAAACAGATGACATTCTACTATCTAAACATTTGGAGTTTCAAACTGAACTTTTTTGTTATCACAGTAATGGGTTGTTGGATACAAGAGAATGCGCACCGGTTGCATGGCTTCTTACTGATAAATTTTTTCTTTCCAGCTTCTCTTGGACTGTATATGTAGATAATCTTTGGTCATTTGTTTTGTTTCTGTCTGACATGCTACATGTCCCGTTAAACAAATCCATATTATTCTTGTGGATGCTAAAACCTAACCTTGCATGTGAATTATGCTAGGCTGGGAGATCAAGTTCTCTGGATAGTGCAATCCAAGATGGCTCCTCCCTTCCCAGCACAAGGGAATCAAATGAAGGTTCGGCTGTGAATGTTCCGTACCAAAATAATGGTCCGAATGTTCCAGAGGCCAATGAGCATAAACCGCATCCTCCTAGTGAAGGAGAACAAAGAAATAAAAAGAAAGTTAACCTAAGAGGTAAAGGAATTGGTGCAGTGCCCAAGACTAGGTCTTCAACTCCTGACTGGACTGGTTCTGGTTTTAATGTAGATGGCAGAAATTAAAGGTACTATGGTAATGCGTTACTGCACCAGATACATTTGGCTGAGAAGTCTTTACGATCTGCGGAAGGTAATAACATCTTTCAATTTTCCATTCTTTAATTCTCCCTATTTTGTTCACTGTTGACACAGAATGACCGAACTAAGGATTAATCTTTACTAGCCTGCTTGTTTGTACAAACTTGTGAATAAGATATTTTCATGGAAGGAAAGATCAATTCATCAAATTAGATTCGTCCTTCTGTTTTTCAGATTTTGAAATGACAACTCAATTTTGATTTCTTTGTTTTCAACTGGTTATTGACTTTCACTTGTTCTTGGCAAATGTCATGGCAATCTCTTGATGAAACGATAACAGCTGCCTTTGCTTCATAGACATCTCCAGGTCCAGTGCCTGTTTACTTCAAAAGCTTCCGAAGAAAACTTTTTAAAATGACAAAACTTTCAAATTTATCATGGTGGGGATGAAACTAATTTCCTCTTTCTCTGTGCAATAAGTTTGTTGTTCAAATGTTGGTTCAATTGTCTATATGCGATTTTAGCAGCATAAGTTTGATTCGGTTCTCTGTATGTCAAAAAGTAATTCTAGATTAAGCTTAATTATTTGAACTTAATTTCCTCACCTTTTGATTTTGCTAAGTTTGAGGGTGAAAATGGGTGAAGAGAATTCGGAAGAAAAGGTTTGGCTGAGAAGAGAAAATTGAAAAGAAAAGAAAGATATCATGTGAAGCACTACTGGTAGAGTGGAAATGAGATATACTGAAACTTCTATTAAAATGATATTGTTCTAAGGTTTAATTTTATTTTTGGTGTCCTTTTATTTTATAGAAAAAGAAGAAAGATTAAATTATTTCAAAAATAACTTTAAGAGAGTTATTCTTCTTCATCATTCTTTATTTTCTTTTGTGCAATAGAAAAAAATGTGAGGGAATTATTGATTTATGAAGAAATTAGTCAACCAAATGCTAATATTGTTACAAATAAATTACTAATGCATGAAATTAAAGTTTGAAGAGGAGTTGCTTGGAACCATTCTGTGCACAATGAATGGTTATCGAGATTGTAGAAAGAAATTTAGAGTTGTCACTAAATTTGACTAGTTTAAAGAAGTCCAACTCAAATATATGAATTTATAATAATTCACTTTTATACCAATCAAACTAGGACATTTTCTTCTTGCACCTCCATATAAATAAATTTTTCATTTTTTCTTTTTTGAATTATACAATCTCAGTTTTAATTTTTGAGTCATTTTTAAAATAATTCGAAGAAACAATTCAAAATAAGCGTTTCGGACAAAGAAATACCAATTCCTGCAGCACACTAAATGGCAAAAGATATGAATGTCTATAATTCAAGAATAATTTTGAAGGAATCACTTTCTATCTATATATTATTCTTTAAATGTGACTTACCAATTAAAATTCTCAAATTGAAAAATAAACAGTGAGTTAGATGACCAAATTAATAGTTTGCTCTAAAATTTAGAACTC